TATATATTTTTGTAATATGTTTTATGAAGTTCTATAATAACCTAACCGAAATATACTCGTTTAAATCTTTTGAGATATGTTCGACTCTGATCCATATGTATGGTTGCTCCTTCTTCGTCAATCTTCCTATTGCCATTCAAAATGTAAAAATTTATAAAACATACATATATATATGTACATGTAATTTTATCTTGAAATATATATTTGTATATGTAAATATAATTGGATGTTGCATCAGATGCGCTCAGTTCCCCGTAGACTTCCATTATATTTTAAAATAAGTCACCATCTGTGAACTGATTGCGCCATGGCTTAACGAATATGTATGTGTGTACAATGTGGAAATACTGCAATTTAATTTATATTATATATGCATAGAGTTACCCACAATTAACACCATTTCATGTTACAAATAATTTAAAAAGTACTACAGATCCTTCTATTTGGATAACCTGTGTAATTGTGTCTTTTTGCTATATATGTATTTTAGAATTGTCCACATGGGCGGCCAACGATGCGTCACCTTATTAATATCGCAATGCTTGAAGACGATGTGGAAATCGACGATACACAGACAGTTACTTAGAAATATGCTTCGCCAGACTGTTGATTAGTTGGTAAAAATAGGATGACACAGGTAACTGGAGTTTGAGGATTCGTGAGTCTGGGCTAGGTATACCACAACAATAATAACATAAGGCATAAAAAAATTAAAATTCATTAAAAGTTCAGATTTTTTTTATTAAACACTGATTGTACGAAATACATTAAAACCACTATGCGCCGTGGACAATATTATACCAGGCAATTGCGGATGCCAATGCAACTCTTTTATTTCTTTCTGTCCTTGATGTATGAATAGTAATTGCGGTGGTAGTTTATTTATCTCATCTTCTGTTTGTGTTTGTTCTGATGCGTTGGGTGTTGCCTCTTGGTCAATATCCTTTTCTACCGCCAAATCCCATAGAGCAATTTGATCATCGTCACCACCAGACGCAAATACTGTAGCGTCATTAGGGTTCCATTCCAATGTGGTTATGTGGTCAGTATGGTGTTTGAATGTTGCTATTGGTTTCTTTGACTGAAATTGTCTTAAATCCCAAACATGTAAGAAACCATCGTCGCCACCGCTTGCAATAAACGGTTCTGTGCGATTCCAGGATATAACATTAATGTCACTTTGATGTGCATCATCACATGTGAGCATACAAGCCTTTTGTGGTGGTGCTCTACAATCCCAAATTCGTATCGTTTTATCGACTGAGCAGGAAGCCAATACGCTAGCCTCATTGGGGCTCCATTGCAAATCTTCAACAGATGCAGTATGACCCACAAGTGGACGCTGATCAACTTTCCAGCTTCCTCCTTCCAAAGGTGACCAAATATGTATATCACGTCTGCAATACATTAAAAACTTAATATGTAACAAATTCTGTTAGGGTAAATTTCGTAATTACTTACTTGCAATCACCCGTTGCGAGTACACCTTCAGCACATATACTCCAGTCAATTGAGAAGCCTTCTTGCTGATGACCATTAAAAGTGAATACTGGACGTACGGTCTCATCAACAACTTCACGTTCATATTGTTTAAGTTGTTGGGAATCTTCGACTGCTTGAAGCTGTTTTGATATATCCCAAATATTTACTCGTCCCAGTTCACTCCATGAAGCTGTGTAAACGGTATTGCCTAAGCGGCGGGCACGTACACGATTTACACAACCTTGATGCTTTATCAATGCACATGCCATTTGTGGTTTTCTTTTTTCATCTGAATTGTCATCATCGTCTTGGTCATCTTCCAACTCTTCATCATCTTCATCATCATCACCACATTCCTGTGTCTTGTGCAAATTACTCATTTTCATGACAATTAAATTGTTGACATGAGTACGGGCTGCCTGTGTTCCAGCCACCATATAAGCGGTTAAGGGAAACTTCTCCCTACCGGCACCCAAATCATCAGGGATTACGTCAAAACTAAGGCATGGCGCCCCGGTTGATGCCTGATGCAGCATTATGTAGGCAGATTCATCACATACGAGCTCTTCGCCATCTTCCAAAGGTTTACCTGGTAGGTATACCTCTTTGGGTTTAGCGGTGTTCGTTGTTTCTCCTTCATTGCCACTTTCCATTCCTTCCTCACCGGCGTCCTCGTCATCCTCGGCTTCGACATATTCTAAATCCATTTCATCATTATCCATTGTTTGAAAGTAAAGTATTTGCTGAATTTAAAAATGACCAACTCGAAAATATTGTTTTGACATTTCTCATATTTGCACGTGCAATCCACAAAGTAATTGCCAGATCAGCTTTTGTTGTTTTGTGACAACGGGTGGTATCTGAAAAAACAAAAAAAAAAAACAATAATGAACCATATATGAAATTAAATTTTCTTTATATTTACAATCTTATTGAATAACTTAAGAAATGGAAAATTGTAATGTTAATTTAAAAGAAAATGAAAAATCTCAATTTGAGTTTTAGGTACAACATTCACTATATTAATTATTCTTAAATTGGTCCAATAAGAAGAATGGCAATAGAAAAAAAATATTCTGAAGTGAATAATAACCGTGATATGTAGTGTTTATTTATTTTTTACCATAAATATTCTAAATCTTTACCTAACGTAATTCACAACCCACAATAAACATTTAATTGATGACAATGGCAAACGTAACGATTACAATATAAGTGGCAACTCATATTTCTCTTTTCCTTTTGTTTATCTGATACCGGAATGCAGCTGTCAAATTTATTTACGTTAGAATTTTTGATTTGTTTCCAAATTTGCATTGCTCATTGAATTTATAAGGATAGGAGATTATATTCTTACAAAAATCCAAAAAATTTGCTGGAACTAAATTGTTAATCTCTGTAAGTCAAAATTTCAAGTTCGTGATGTCCTTGAAGAAAGACTTATCCAAAGTGGAGTTTCGAATAAAGCTGTTGTCTGGTAATAATGTAGTTCTTGTTGAGGCGAATGGTTTCGAATCAGAGATATTTGTTCCGGAAATTCAGAATGGACGCATTAGTTTTCAGAACATTATACCTAATAGGCGTTGCTGCTTTATGTTGAATGCGTTAGCGACAAAAAATTTGGCACGTAGAAGACGTCGTCCATTACAAACTACTGATCAATTAAGGGGAACCGCAGAAAAGCAAAGAGATAATATATCACCATCGAGAACATGGCGCCTACAGGGTGGTGACGAAATAAATCGTGGACGTTCGCCATTAGCATTCAGCACACCTGCACCTGCTCCGTCACCAACTCCTTCATACACCATAAAGCAACAAATGAAGTACACAAATAAAGAAAATTATACACAACGTCCACGCACTTTAGCTCAAGCATATCAAACAATAGAGTTGTTGCGTGCAAGGGGGTCTGCACCCATTCAATTGGCAAGACGAAATAGTCTCCAAACTCCATGTACAAAAACAGTGCGTATACAATGTGAACAATCGGAAATCGACAGACATTTAAATGAAAATTGTGGTGACTCTGGGTCAGGTTTCAATATACCAGATATTCCAAACTTATCACCCAGATTTGAATCACCAAATCAGATGAAAACTAACACAAAGAATGCGTATATTTCAACACCAGGAACAGTTACAAAATGGCGTAAGTGTCTGACGCCAGTACGAACTTACTCCCGCCATGGCATTAATGTGCCACGTTTACCTTCTAGTTGTAGTGTCAAGAAAGTGCGAAACATAAAAAAGATGTCTTCGACACAAGGAACTGTTGGCTCATACAAACTGGAAATAAAAAGACGGAAGATTATCGTGGATCCCAAAACAACTATTACACCCAAAACATTTAAACAGCAGCAATATTCTACGGCTCATTTACGTCCGAAAAGTCCGGATCGGTTCTTCGCAACAACAGCGAAAGATCGAAAAAAATACGAGATGAATAGAAAAACAGCTTTTGATATGCTGACGGCACCTAGTATACCTGTGATGTCTTCAAAGTTAACACAACAATTTAAAAAGGCTTGCGTGAACAAGGCGTCGTCTACTTGTCCAAAATATAAAATCTTATGCAAAATACCACCTTTGGAACAAGTAGAAGAAAGTAGAAATCGGGAACATCGAGACCTGAATATCGTTCGGAATTTGCCACCAAGTAATGTAACAGTAGCCGCTATGATGGAGAAAGCGTGTTCGAATGCAATACAATCCTCCAACCGCTCCTCACATGTACCTCATTTAAGATGATCTTCTCAACAAAAGTCATGTTAATATGTAGATGAAATTCACTTATTAGTTAGTAAGAATTGTAAATTTGATGTTTAAAATTTAACGTACTTTAGGATCATGATGTACAGTTTGTATGCGTACACAAACTTTTTATTTTTATATTTACTAGAATTTAAACCAATAACTTTGTCTTCGTTTAGGGGAACTATTTTGGCTACATGAACTGCAATATAGGTATGTCAATATGCTATTTTGCAATAAATGTAGCCATTAAATTTTTTCACCGCAAACAAAGAAATGTGCAACATCTATTGTGCTCGTTATTGCTTTTAAATGTGCAAAATGCAATAAAGTAATTAGAAAATTATAATTAGTTGTTTGTAAGAATATATCGTATTTTAAATGTTCCCGAAATGCAAAACTGCTTCTTTGGAATATGGGTATCATGTTGACATGATTTGTAGATTAAAAGTTTTAGTCGCTTCATGTTTTATTTATTGTGGATAATATTTGGATGTGTACTTTTGGAAAGTGTTATAAGATAAATATATATACTTGTATGCATGGGCATATACAATCAAAAATTAATGTCCACAATAAAACACACTATTTTAACAACATTTGAAACAATTATAAATAAAACGATTTGATGGATCTATTAATATCCGTAAAAACACCTGTTTCTTTATTTATTTCTTGCTTTTTGTTTGCGAACACATTTGGATTGCTATTTAAATTAATATTACTGTCCTTAAACCAGTTATACATATTTATTGTATAATAAAATATATCTACATGTATTATTCGAAGATATATGTTTTTGCAACTTAGTATCACGATTTATTTTACTGTACACTTAATAAATGTGTCTTACGTAGTGTCATCTTCTGCAACCAAAGCAGGACTTAAAGGCCCTCTTTATGGCGCGCACATTATGTATGACTTGTTCCTGAAAAAGAGATTTGTGTGTTCATATTCTGGTCTCTTTAATCTTATTTCGATGTAATGTACCTGCATTAAACTGAAACACATAGCAATGAGCGCCATACCAAGTAACAGATAAACAGCACAAAGTATAAAACTAACTTCCACTTTGTCTTTATCGGCAGTAATCTGGAAATGAAAATGGATTAGTCTTCTAGATAACAATATAATATTTATAAGCATACCACCCGTTCGCCGGGTACCAAATCGCCAAAACCGATACTACTTAACGATATGAAACAGAAGTAACTTCCATCCAAATAGCCCCATTCCTCCCAACGGCTAAACAAAATAGCTCCAGCTAATATATAACTGGGGAAATGAAATTGCTTTAGTCGATTGTAATATATTTTTATAAACTATAGACTACCTTATCATTATGACCACGCAAACCATTAGCGGTACTGTTATTTCGTCAGTATTCATTCGTATTTCTCTTTCAATGTCGGAATCATTCTCTTCCTCAAAGTTCTCCAATGCACTCATACTCTGGGTCGAAGTTTCAGTTTCTTCACTGTAGTAACTGCTCGAGGAGCTGTTACTGCTCCGACTGTCACTACTACTGCTCGTATGCCGACGACTTTCCATATCTTGCAGCTGTTATGTAATGTTTTTGTTTAATAGTCTCTGTTGTTGAGTTTCACACTTACCGCTTTAGACATAGCCAATTGACGCAGTTTCCTTCGTTCGCGTATGATTCTTCGTCTTGCAACACCTGGACAAATGCGGCACAGGCATACTTTGGAGTAAATCCATTTAAAGGATTTGGCTAGAACATCGCCTATATTCGATAAATATAAAAGGAAAAGCGGCATACCAATAATTGCATATAAAATGGTCACTAATTTGCCCCAATCCGATTTTGGTGAAATATTCCCATATCCTGAGGAATGAAAAATAATTAAGATATTATATTATGTGATAAAATATGGCTTTTCTGCTTTAATTTTTTTACAGCAGTTTTCAAAATAGATTTCTTAAAAATATTGTTGTTGAAAGCTAAGCTTAAAACGAGTATTTTAGATCGATCAACGTAATTGTGGTAATATTAACGCCTCTTTCGGGCGTGGAAACCTCCAAACAACCTCATCAGAATATCAAGAATAACGCATTTCAGTATTTTTCTTATATTTTAGATATATAACTCATATCTATTTTGATGATTGTAGTATATTAGGTGAGTGAGTTAGTTCTAGCAGTCTGGAAGATTGTATTACCTATAGTAGTTATAACCGTTAGTGAATAGAGGAAGGCACCCGAAAAGCTCCATTGTTTGTCAATATCTGGATCAATTAAGTTTTCATGCGCAACTTCTCGTTGAAATTCCAGTAAAATTTCGTTTACTCTATAAGATTGAAAGGAAGAAGGCTGTGAGATACAAATGCTTCTACAGCGCAAATTTAAAGTTTACAATACCTACCTTTCTTTATAATAAATGTTATCAAAGAAACTTATATTCTGTACAGTTATATCCCAGATCTTCTGCAGGCATTTCGCCGTTATGTTGGGTTTTACAGTTTTGTGTTTGTTGAATCTTTCGTATTCAAATAATTCAATTGCTTGGAAAATGAAGGCACCTGTATATAGTCAATGTAATTGCGTTCAATCAAAGAAAATCTAAAATGTTTTTCAATGTACATAGTTGGAAGAGTTTCGAATTACCTCCAATGGTATAGATTATTACAAGGAGTATGATGCCAACATTACTAAACATAAAAGCTGTAAATTGTCGACATCTATCTTTGAATCGTTCGAAAGGGGGTTTTTGTCGTTTTCGAAATGAGCTGCGTCGTGAGGACATTTTCCGTACAACGCTCACTCTCCGTTACCTCAAACAGCACTCCGACCGTCCTCTTGTACGCTGGAGTGAGTGTGTGCACTTGTGTGTCTTCTTCGACGATGCTTTGTAAAGAAAAGTTTTAGCGAGCGATCGGTAATTAAAGTGGAGCTACCATCTGCTCCAATTTGCAAAAGAGAACCTCTGTGCTCTGTAACACTGGACATGCTTTACGACAGAACAGCAGATACGTATCATTAGTTGTGTATAACTTCTGTATGGTTAATGGCGATAAGGACGGCAACTGAAAGTAAACGAGAAAA